GGGGGGGGTAATAGAACTGCAGCTTGAGGGTGGGGGCTCTGGCGGCTGCTTAGCATCTGGCCCCGGGCTTAGCGAATCCAAGAGATACCGGGTTCTTCGGGTGAATAGGAAAGCGGGTTGCACTGGCCAGCTGGGACCTGCCTCTCGTTCTCCTGAAGAGGACTGATCGATAGGCACACTTTCCCTCTCATTTGCACATATTTTTAAGGTTTTATCTTTGGCCCATTTCCCTTTGAGCACAATTTCCCATAAGTATCTTAGTAAAGAAGAGAAACAAGGTTTTTCATGAGGTGGGCTCCTGGTGAGAGGCCCAAACAGCCCAGGTTGTGCTGTCCCAGCACTTGGACCGAGGGGTTCTGTGACCCTGAGCAAGCCCCTTCACCTCAGGTCCATCCGCAAATGGGGCTGCTCATGACTGTCCTAACCCTTTAGTCATGATGACAAAGGCCTGTGAAACATTTAGGTGAAAGGGCTGTATCACATCCCCAAGATTTCTGCATGATGTGTCAAAGGGGAAAGTTTTAATAGCAAAGAGAAAAATGGCACTTTTTGGCACCTGGTAGAAGCAAGCTAATTGGTTGCCAAGGAGTTGGGCCAAGGAACCTTATTTTGAGCTTCATCTGTGTGCATCATTTTTCCATGAGGATTAAAAAGACTATTAATCCAGTGATAGAGACATATACGATAAATTACTACCAAAGGGCCACAATGACCTTGGCCGTGTCTTACTGTAGGTTCAGCTTTCTGGGTGGGCGGCAACAGCATTGCTGGAAGTCAGGGTTGGGTGGAGGAGGGGGGAGCTGGAGAGAAAAAGAAATAGAGGAAAGTAGAATCTTGGCAACAGCTACCTGGGCTCTCATTATTTTCCCTGGAGCCTGACATTTGAAGCATGAGAAGAGCCGTCAACGACTTCAAAGCTTTAGGGGCACATTGACAAATGGTCCCGCCTTACAATCCAGCAGCCACGTCCTAATGAGCCTCATTAAAACTGGTCTGGATCCCAACCCCCAGCCCTGACACCGGGTCAGCCTGTGGCTTTTATACTCTTCTCTTCCGTTCCCTACCTTCCTCCCCAGGAGTGGGAACTGGTGGTATTGGGAAAGTTGAAGTGGAACCTGGCAGCTGTCACTCCTCATGACTTCATCGAGCACATCCTTCGCAAGCTGCCCCCGCAGAGGGAGAAGTTGTCTTTGATCCGCAAACATGCGCAGACCTTCATTGCTCTGTGTGCCACCGGTAAGGACAGGCTTGAGCCCGGGAGGGAGGCTGGGGAGCTCTTTGGAGGACGTCTATGGGGAGACCAAAGGTTGGGGGAACTCTCATATTTGGTCGTTTAGGGGAGGGGTGGTCTTGAGCAGTGTAGAGTCTGAGATTTCATTCCCGGGTGGTTTTTTCTTTAACTTTATCTGAGCTGGTATATTCTCTTTCTCTGCTAAACTCATAAATGGTTTATGAGGACAGGTGTGGTAAGGGAAAAAAATTAGTGCCTGTTAAAATATGCTTTATGATGTCTAAAGTGCTCTTTGAAGATTACATATACTGCTCACGGGTTGTGTTTAAATCTTTAATCTTTTGAGGAAAAGGATGGCTTGGAGATAAGCCCAAGAGGAAATTTAGGGGTGGGGGCGAATATAGGTTAAAGGAACAATGTCCAGATAAATACGCTGCCTGCCCTGATAAGTAGCAAGGGAGACCAAAGGAATTCTTTTTACTGTAGGGCGTTTATTGCCTCCTCGCTGTTCCCTCTGCTGGATGGGGGATGAGCCTGGTCGGCTTTCAGCGAGGAGTCACTGGGGAGCCGGAGGTTCTGAAGCCCTCCCTTCAAGTGGCCTGTTTCCATTTTGGCTCCAGCCTTTAACATAGCAATTAGTAGAGAAAGTAACCGGCTTTTTCTTGTTAAAAGCTTTCTGCCCCCCATGCCCACAGTCGATACATAGTTCTTATTTGCTTGCATGTCCTAATAGAGCAAAGGCAGTGGTTTCACTTTATCGTACTAAACTGAACCTTGGCCAGTTTCTACTGTTTTTTTCTTGGTAGTGGCCATGGTAGAGACCCTGGAACCTTGATCAGCCAGGAAAGAGGTGTCAGGAGTTCATATTCTCACAGTCAGAAATGTGAGAACCGACCCTTCTGGCAGACCTTTTGGGATGGTTCAACTCAAATTTGCCAAGAGTAGTTGAATTATATAGGTGAGACTTGGGAGTTAACTTTTTTCAGTACCTCGTTACATGCACTCATGAGTTTGTACAGAAGATCGTGTAATGTGCAATCGTGTATATGTTCTGTGTTCACAGTCAGAAGGTCGGGCTTTTTGCTCCTTATCACTGGGTGAACTTGCACAGGCTGCTTAACCCCTCTGAAGCCCAGCTTCTCCATCTGCAAAACAGGCCTGTCAATACGTCATCATCCTGCAGCCTTTTCAGAGTGGTTAGGAAAATTACAGTCAAAAGGAGGTGATGCACGTTGTAAACCAGGAGCCGAGTAGGACGGATGTGCCATGATGCTGATTGTGAAAATGCCACCATCTCCAATTTTAACTCTGATTTTGATTTTAACTGTTCCAACCAAGATGGATACGGTGACTTTTCCAGCTGCTCTCATCTGCCTCTAGCCGGGTCTGGGTGCTCTGCTGTCTTGAGTGTAGGATTCTGCACCTCCCCCTTTTGGGTCCAGGGGATAGGATTCCCCTTGCTGCGTGTCTTTAGTCCTGCCCTGCGGACCCCGATCACACTTCCGGGAGCGTACATGTGCCCTGTGCACCTTTTGGGGGAGTTAGATGCCCTTGCTGTGGCCCTGGGAACCCCGCTGCCTTTTAGACAGTCATTCTGCTTCCTTCCCTTCTCCTGCTGTCTGGCCTGGGATCTAGAGATCAGTTCCACATTGACCTGTCTCATTTTGTCTCCCAGGCTGGGATGTCCCTTTCCTCTCTTGTCATGATTCACTGTGGGGGAGGGGTCATCCAGTCCTTTTTCTCTGGCCCTAGGACAGCCGACCCCACAACCCTAAACTCTCCCATTGCCCAGCTGTTGATAGCCAGAGTTCTGGGTTGACCTGTTTCTTGACTGACAGATCTTTGGGGTCTGTCCGCCCCTTCCTCCTGTCTGATCTCTGATTGGGGAAGGGGGGCTGGGTAGGATTACCCAAGCACGGGCATATCCCCAAATTCTATATAGGCCCATTCTCTAAACGTTGACCTGTTTCTTGACTGACAGATCTTTGGGGTCTGTCCGCCCCTTCCTCCTGTCTGATCTCTGATTGGGGAAGGGGTGCTGGGTAGGATTACCCAAGCACGGGCATATCCCCAAATTCTATATAGGCCCATTCTCTAAAACTGGGGATCCCATCCCCCACCCGAAGCCTTCTTGCCCAGATCCTTGGGGTGGCTGCCAACTTTGGGGCCAAGAATAGGGAGCCTGGGATTGAGGGACTGAGGACAGAGGTCCGAAGGAAGGCTGAGGCCCTCGTGAAGACTGCCTTTTGGGGGCCTTGAGCTAGCTTTGGTCGGGGGTGTGGACAGATAGGAGAAAGAACACCTCCATCCAAATGAAAAACTGCGTGCCAAGTACTAAGCCTCAGGCGTGGACTGGTCAGAGCAGAGGGAGAATCTCAGAAGTTTCCTGGGTCTAGAAAGGGTGATCCTCTCTCACACGGCCTTTCTTTCCCTGATCTGCACTTGGGTTGGTGCAAGTGACTGAGTCACAGAATCCCTGCTGCGTGGAGGTTTCTGGTACGCAGCCGGACAGCAGAAACACCAAGGGCTGCTTTTCTTGTAGGAAACACCTTCCAGGGAGATGAGGTTCCGCATTTGAGGGTCAGAGCATGAGTGGGCGTGTACCCATGGCTATGGCTGTGTCTGGCAAGTAGCCCTTTCCCCCCAGTCCTGGACGGGATGCCCTGGGGCTGGTGAAGCACCTGCAGCCGGGGTCTCTGAGGCCCGTGGGGGTGGGGTGGGGGCAGGAGATGGCAGCTAACCCTGGGCTGTGTGGCTAGTTTATGGGAAGAGCTAGTTGTGAAAGAGCTGGCAGTCATTCTGCAGAGTATGTGGGGAGCGTATGTGTGTGTGAAAGGGGAAGAGAGAGAGCCGAGAGCATGGAGGGGCCGCGGGAGGGTGGCCGAGCGCCGGTCTTCCTTCACCGGGCTCTGGGGTAAGATGGTGGCACAAGAGGTGCCTCCTTCCTATCCCCACGCAGCCTGAAATGGCTTCTGGGGGAGAGAGTGCCTCACGCTGCCTGGTGGCTCTCTCTGGCCTGTCCTGGTCAGTGGAGGCATTGGGGTGGGGGTGCGGCTCTTCATGACTGCAGCTCCTGGCCCTCCGTGTCCTAGAGCTTTGGATACTGGGGAGGCAGAACTGAGGCCCCAGGTCCACAAACCAGGAAAGAAGACCATTTAAGATGACTCAGGATCGCACTCCAGCATTGGGAGATTCTTGAGATGTGATATCATGTTCAACAGATGATTCCAGTGAGTCCAGAAGAGCCAGTGGCATTGAGTTCGAGCCCAGCAAGGAGCAGGGACGAGGTGTTCCCCCTCCCTCCCCTGGCACCCCACACCCCTCTTTTTGTATTAGCAGCCCACCTTGAGGTGCTGCATCTAGAGATTTGTGCACACATGACTGTCCCCCTCTCTGGCCTCCCCACCCAAGGCCTGAGCCTCCTTGGTGACAGTGACCCATTACGCTTTCCGAGTCATCCTGCTTACCTGCAGGTGTCTCCTTAGCTTCCATCCCTGGCTTACAGTCAGGCGGTGGTGGCCCAGAGAAGTTAGATGACTTGGCCTTTGCTCCACAATGGCAGATTTGCCTTGGTGGTGGCCAGCAAGGAAGAATCGAAACCCACCTCTCCGTCTGTGAGCCTCTGAGCTGCCTCCGCAGCCGAGAGGTCACGGGGCTGAGGGGAAGTGGAATGTTGGTTCCTCTGCGAGTGTGCCCTGTGGGGACAGCAGTGTGACTGGCTGTCTCACTTCCCATCTGGCCGAGATGAATGAGAAGCAGGCTGCTTGCCATTCTCCGTGCCCCCCTCCCCAGGCCTTTGGAGTTAGGTTGGCATGGGCTTGTCATGCCCATCTTGCCCCACAAGGACAGGGTGTGCCGAACTTATTCTGGGGGTAGCAGGTGAGGCATGTGCTGAATGACATCACTGGCCAATGAGCTCCGCGGGCTCTGGCCCTTTAAACTTCCACCTGACCGCAGGTTGGGAGGTCGAGTGGTGGGGGAACCTTGTCCTGCTGTCTCAGCCTTGGAGCAAGTATCCCTCTCCCCCTAGTGGTGAACAGAAGCCACACAGTCACACTTGGACTTCAAGGCTTTGGCCTCCATGGGCAAAGTAATCAGCACTACACTTCCTGGGCAGGGCCATGTAATCTGTTGTTTTAAATCTATTTAGCTCAGAACTCTGTCTTCGGTGAAATCTTACCAAGAAGTGCAGATACCGAGTTGATGACTCTGGAGCACTTCTCAGGGCTGTCATCCAGGTTAGGGAGCTCAGCAGGACCTCCAGGGGCCCCAGGCATCCTTGGGAGGTTAAGTGATTCATGCAAGGCCAGGGTGCTGGTGCCTTGTTTGGGACTAGGACCCATTATCTTTTGATTCCTGAGCTAGGGAGTTTTTAGGGGACTTTTTTTCCATTTCTGTTATGAAAAACTATCCTATATTCCTTAGTGGTATGTGGGAGGTGACCTTGAGGAGCTGTTCAGCTTCTGGTAAGTTATAAAGAGCTCTGGAGCTGGAGTCCAGAAGTCTCCATCTTCACCCCAAGCCCAATGCTCACGTAAGTGAGTGACTTTAGACAAATCAGTTAACTGCTCAAGATTTTATTGATTCACCTGAAGGGCTCTGGTAAGTTATAAAGAGCTCTGGAGCTGGAGTCCAGAAGTCTCCATCTTCACCCCAAGCCCAATGCTCAAGTAAGTGAGTGACTTTAGACAAATCAGTTAACTGCTCAAGATTTTATTGATTCACCTGAAGGAGATGTCTGAAACATAAACTATATGTTCCTTTTTATTAATACCTTACTGCTGTTACCACCAGCATAAGTGTGCAGATGACACCAGAGCCACCTTGTGCTTGTCTGCAGAGCTGGAACTCCCCTAAGGTGTGTCCCTTGCCTCCTCCACCCACCAGGAGGCAGGAGGTAATGTCGCATGCTTCTAGTATGTGGGCATCGTTCCTTGGCTGTGAGCCACATCTGAATGATGTGGGGTGTGCTGGGGTGTAGTTGCCAACTTCTTTCATTCATCGAGTACTCATAGGGCTCTTCCCATTCTCCTGTGGGGTCTGTTTCTCCCACTCTGACAAAGCAGCAGGAGGCTTTGGGGACTCGATGAGGTCATTTCTGTGACACACACACACACACACACACACACACACACACACAGCTGGATAGTGAAGGATTCTCCAGGCAGCACAGAACCCTCATTCTTCCTGGCCCCAGCATGCTTGGTGGCTCTGCACCTGCCTGCACCCGAGGGACGCTGGGCTGCGTTCTCCTCACCGTCCAGACGTTGGGTAGAATCTGCAGCAGTCAGAGCGCCCATCACCATCCCACAGGAAGTTCCTGCAGTGAGGACAGTGGAGGTGATAGTCGCAATGATGACGGTGGCTGACTCTTGTTGTTTGTCATGAACCAGGTACTGTGCTTTCACATGGGTCATTTCACTTAATCCTCAGAACACTATCAGGTGGGTGTAATTGTTATCCCTATTTGCAGGTCATAGAGGTCAGGTAACTTACTCCTCTTCACACAGCTGGTAGGTGGCGGGGCAGGGATTTGTCTGACTCCAGAACTGACAATCTGAACCGGTGAGCTACATTGCTCTAGAGATCTGCCATGGCTGGAGGTGAGCCAGAGCCCTGGGAACTGGTGCAGCCTCTGTCCCCTGTGAAGGTGTGTGGCTGTTCCTGCTCTGTTCAGATCCCCAGATGCAACGGGCTGGAGGAAGACCCTCCTGTCCCTGCTGGGGTTGTGGACAGGAGTGGAGGCCACCCAACCACAATGTACTCCACCTTAAACCCCTTGAAACTGGCTCTACTGTCCAAATCGTCCCATCTCCTCCTAGCCCTCCTAGGAAGTACCTCCAGTGCTCCTCTCCACTTGAGTGTCTCCCTTTGAGCAGTTGCCCATGTACTATACACCGTGTTGTGTTGTGTTACTGCCTGATGAATCAGTCCCCAGCCTTAAGAAGACTGGTGTCTGGAGCATGATCTCCAGTGCTCCTCTCCACTTGAGTGTCTCCCTTCTTTGAGCAGTTGCCCATGTACTATACACCGTGTTCTGTTGTGTTACTGCCTGATGAATCAGTCCCCAGCCTTAAGAAGACTGGTGTCTGGAGCATGAACAGTATTTTACATTTTCGGGGGGATTCATGCTGCCTGGCACAGGGAGGAGCATGTTATAATGACCTGTTAGAACGGGTCAGTGATCAGTTAATTGCCTCTCGCTCTGCTGTGGGGAAAGGAGGGGTCTCAGGAAGTCGTAAACATCGCACCTTTCCTGGTGGCGACAGGGAAGAGGGTCGACCCTCGCCCCTGAGTGCCACCCCTGAGTGCGCCTTCCACACCAAAATACAGCTTGTTGGAAGTTTTGACTAAGATTTCTGAGAGACTTTTCCTGGTTTTTATTTGTTAAGATAATATTAAAAGAAAATTTTACAAACGTGTTCCTGTTTCCCCCACCTAATGGACAGTTTTCATTTTCTGTGCTTCCCTCTCGTTCATCCACCTGCATGCGTGTATGTATTTATACTTACGTGTGTATGGAAGGTCGTTATCCTCATGATAGCGTGTGCATACAGTGTGTTTTTCTGCCCCTTCTCCCCAGTGGATATCCTGAATGTTTCTCCCTCCTGGTATATGGCCAAAGTTTAAGGCTCCCAGGAATGGCCGAATAGGTGGGGTGGAGTTTTCCGTGGGTGAGCGTGGGGTTCGCTAACCAGAGCTAGCTCAGTGGGGGAAGCTAGTGGGGAAATGAAACGATGTTTCGTTTTTGTGTTTGTGTCTCTGCTCTGTTTGGAGGGGACCTGGGGCTGCCCGGTGCAGGGGATGGCTTGTGACTGCTGGCTGGAGGAGCCATGCTGCATCCATGGTCTCTCTGGTTCTTTGCCTTGAGATTCGTTCCCGTTCCAGATTCTCCTGTAAGAGCACATTAGAGCTGGAAGGCTGCTGGGAGACCATCCTGCCTACTGTCTTTAAACCCATTAACCTAAACCCTGAAGGAAGAAATACATTTTATAATACAACTCATACACCAAACCAATACAAAAATCTCCCCCAATAATAATTGCTCTTAACTACATGCAAGTACTTCCCGATACTTTGTATCCTATTCTATTCAGTTAAACAATAATGAAAAGTGCTGGTCACCCACAATGAAGTTCATGACCCACTGGCGAGTTGCAACTGGAGGTTTGAAAAACCCTGATCTAAACCAATCCCTTACCAGGCAAACGGGCATGCAGGGGCTTAGAGGACAGGGTGACTTGCCCAGGGTCACACAGTCTGCGCTAGCTTGAGTGCTGTTGCTGCTGGTGTTTGACTAACGGGAGAGCGGGATGTGCTGGGGGCTCTAGAGGAAGAGGCCAGTGTTCCATGGTGGTGGCAGCAGAGGAGTGATGCGCTGGCTTGGCCTCCAGCCGATCATCTTGTCGTGCTGTGGGAGGACTCTGCCCCGTCAGCGCCACTCTGAGCTGCTGAGAGGCAGCCATCCCTGCACACAGCGTGCTCCAGTTCTGTGGGACAGGGGACAGAGTCCCCAAGTGGACTCCCCTCAGCATTAGTCAAACAAAAAGGGAGGTGGAGCCCCGTGTGCAATTCTCGCACCTGTTCCACCCCGGGACAGCCCGCCCGCTGGCTTCCAGGAGTGAATTCAGATGCTACAAGTCAGAGTTGGTTGTGCGAGCAGTGGGATGGCTCTGTGAGAGGCCTCTGTGAGGTGTGGCCCTGGTCTGAGGCCTGTGGCAGAGGGAAGAGAGGGCCAGGGATGCTGTCCTGCCCCTTTCTTGCCAGATGCTCCCACCCAGGGCCTTTGTGGGCCCAGGGCCATGAGCTGGCTGCCTCATTTGTGTTATGAATGTCACAGGGCGGAGCTAACGAGGTTATTGGGCAGAGAAGCACTCTCCTGTGACCCTCGTGGAAGAGACCTACAGCAGAGGGGGAGGCGGGGAGGCTGGCTTTGCCACACCCTCCGTGGGGATAGAGAAGGCAGAGGACAGCAGGTTTCGGGTGCAACACGCTCAAGAGGTGGAAATGGGGAATGGGCGATGGGGAGAGAGCCAAGGAGCCAGCCAGCCAGCCAGGCCCCCTGTGTTCATGGGATTCAGCCGAGATGGGAGGGAAGGGTCGTGCATGGCTCAGTGATCCACGGTGTTTCTAAGATGCTACCAAAATGTGCTTCCTTAGGAAATGATTTTGTAATAGAGCGTTGGATAGGAAGAAGGTGATATACTAGGGTGAACTGGTGCTTTGTAGGTTCAACCTCCTATTTTTGCTGTAGTTTAAAGTATGACTCGTGTTTCCCTGTGCGCTCTGCCTCCTGCCCCCACGTGCGCCTTCCGTTTCTACGTACAGTCAGCTCCCTGGAGTAATGCTAAAACTAGAGGTGGTATAGTGTGGAGGATTTGCCGTGCTCCAGGACTGTCACAGGGTGAGTGATGAGATGGAACCTCTTTAGCCTATCAACACAAGCAGCGGAAGGGCGGCTTATGCTTTCAGTGGTCCCAGGTTGCTCCCCCTCACCAGGTGCCGTGTGCACCTTCTGTGCCTGATGTGTGCGTTCAGTGACGCATCGGGTAGGGCGGTGTCTGTGTTGGCAGACGGTTGTGAGCAGCAGTGACAGGAGGATGGTGTGGGTGTCTTTCTCTCCCCTGGGTGGACCGAGCAGTCACTGGATCGTAGACACCCAACCCCTTTAGGGGAGAGCTCACAGGAAGATGAGGGGTTTGGTCTCCTAGGCTGAGCCCCCTCGTGGTCCCCTGGATGGACCAAGCAGTCACTGGATCGTGGACACCCAACACCTTTAGGGGAGAGCTCACAGGAAGATGAGGGGTTTGGTCTCCTAGGCTGAGCCCCCTCGTGCGTAAGAACATCATCTGCCTTTGCTCTTGGAGAAATAGAAGTGGAGATGTTTTGAGCCCCTCAAATATACCTCATTTTGCACTTCTGTGTAGTAAACTCCTCTTTTTTTCTAGCAAGAGAGTGTGGACTCCAGGCTCAAGAGCCGTAAAATCTAAACCAAGTGATCCATGCAGTTAGGATGCAATGATTAATGCCTGTGCTTGATTAAAGTCCTGTCCTTTGTCCTGCTCTTCTGTGGATCCCTGATATTGGGCTGGAAGCTGGGACTTCTGTGAAACTCACCCCCACTCCCCCATCTCCTACGTTGTTGCTACTTCTCACTTCATTTCTTTTTTTACAAAATCTTGTTTTGTTTTGGGCCATGTAAGTTTTCAATGACTGTCCAGAGAATATGGCAAGATCCCATCTGGATGATTGTTCTGCCTGAGATTGTGCCTGATTGCCCCACCTGCTCTCACGCCGTGGTGTATCCCAGCTGGATGGCACGTGAATGTCTTGTCTGCACAGGTCTCAGGCCTCCTCTGCTCTGTTCCCACTGTCTCACTTAGCTTGTCACCACCCCCAGCAGAGCCAAGAGTAGTATCCTGCACATGCTAGCCGCTTACGTGATGTGTGACTTAGGGGGTGGGGACCTTGAGTCCTCTGTGAATTCATTACGTGCACTCAGACAAAATTCTCTTCCGTTTGAGAGGAGACGCTGTCTCACTTAGCTTGCCACCACCCCCAGCAGAGCCAAGAGTAGTATCCTGCACATGCTAGCCGCTTACGTGATGTGTGACTTAGGGGGGTGGGGACCTTGAGTCCTCTGTGAATTCATTACGTGCACTCAGACAAAATTCTCTTCCTTCCCTGCCTCGGTCTTCTTGTTTTAAATCTGGAACAGCCACAGTAAAGGCTAATAAATAATGGGCTTCTTGTGAAGGAGTAACTCAAGAGAGAACGTGACTGTAGGATGGGGGGTGACTTGTGCAGCTGACCTGCTGCCATCCTATTGCTGAGCATCTGCCGGCTCGGGATCCAAATTGTTTCTGTGCCCTGACCTTCTGCGTCTCGTTCTTTGCAGACTTTAAGTTCGCCATGTACCCGCCATCAATGATAGCAACTGGAAGCGTGGGCGCGGCCATCTGCGGGCTCCAGCATGATGAGGAAGTGAGCTCACTCACCTGCGATGCCCTGACCGAGCTGCTGGCCAAGATCACCAACACCGATGTGGTAGGTGGCCGCCACCTTCTTGGTTAGGACAGATGTCTCTTCTCAGCTCAGGGAGAGAAAATTGGTCTCATTATGATGTGTCAGAGGTATTATCCTGGTTTCTGTTGTCTAAGTTCAACATACAAGGTAGCATGAAATTCAGCAGGTGAAGCCTCCACGCAAGGCTTTGCAAGCCTGTGTGTCATGAAACACAGAGAAGAACTCAGCGAGCAGACACAAGGAGCATGCACTGCTGCTTCATTTCCATGTACGTGCACCGTGTGAGGCTGCCTCCGCTTTGCAGTGTGGTGCATCCCTGTCTGTCACACACTCGCCCGTGAGGCACAGAGAGAAGAGAAGGGACAGCCAGAGCCTCCAGCCCCAGGGGACCTCTCAGCCCCTCCCATCTCTCACGCTTCCCTTGTGTTCAATGAAATTCAGTGTTGTCGCGGGTTAAAAAGCACTTTTAAAAGATAAAATGCCATACAAATTCAAGAAACTATTATCAGCTATAGGTTTTTCCTTTCTGTGGTTCCCGTGGAGAGGCTGTTACTTCTGGTTGCCAGGACTTGAAGCTCCTTAGAAGAAAGGTTTTGAGATAGACCAGGATCAAGTGAGGCCCTGAATTCAACTGGCAGGATATTGCAGTCCTGGAAGGTCCGAGCCAGGATGGTTCTGTGAGGTCAGAGAGGCAGTTCCAGCATTTTCCATGGGCAGCACAGAGGGCTAATAGTGGCAGAGCTGGGACTAGAACCTGCAAGCCCTGACTGCAGCCTGGAAACTTTACACTACGCCCTTGCTACAGCTCCTGGGACCTTTTTGTTTGAAAAAGGCCTTTGGTTTAAAGGCAGCTCATGAAAGGGGTGTTAGATCTAGAGCTCGCGAGCATCACCATCGAGAGGCTCAAGAATGCAGGGGACTTCATGATGACATTCTCTGGATGTTCTGGGGGCTCAGAATGCCGTATGTGGGAATTTATCAAGTTAAGGGATCATGAGATCTACAGGCCTGTGGCTGATGCCTCCGTGAGGGGTGTGGGGCATAAAGTTAAGCCTCAGTGGGCTGAAGGCTGCAGCGTGCCCACCTTCTCAGCCACCCTCTGCATCTCCCCTTTGCATATGTTACGTGCTCAAAGAAAGGGCACCAGGAGATGGTGAAGGGTCTGACGGGACAGCCCCAGAGTCCTCATCTGAAACAGTTCTTAGACATGCTTTTAAGACGCTGGCTCCAAAACATACGCTTTTTAAACAAGGGCTCCAAAATACACATCGAAAGGCCCCTGTAGTGCAGCATGCTTTTCTAGTTCTCCAGAGAAACACCATTGACAGAACTTAACATTTATAGAAATGGTTCACTTCCTTTTCTGAACATCTTCTGTTAAGGCTGCCTTACAAATGCGATTCCCGGCCAGTTTAAACCAAGCCCTTCCTTGACCCCTGGAGACAAAAATGTCAGTGACAGGAGTCTGACCCTAGGCGTTGTAACCTCTTCCAGATATTTATAGACCTGCTCCGATTGGCCGACCACCCACTAGTCTCCAGCCTTTTCCCACATCTTTTTGTCCCCCCTTCCTGGTTTCAAATGGACAGAAGTCACTCCTGGTTGCCACTGAGGCTCTTGGACTGTGCCTTTCTTTTCAAGACTGAACCAGTGTGTCATCCCACACTAGAGAAACCATTTGCCCTTTCAGATACTACGTAGCCAGTCCATTCAAGTGGGCTGTCGGACTGGGTTAAGCGGATACAAAACTGGCTGAGGGTCAGCAATGCCAGCTGTTCGGTTGGTACCGCACTTCTGTGGCGGGTCTGCACTCTGTCTCTTAACTGGGGAGGCACATCCATGCCTCATTCTCACCAGTGTGTCCTCAGTTACACATTTTAATATTAAAAACCAAACATGAATTTAGTAAAACTTAAACCACTTTTTCACATAAAAATTTGAGACCTCAGTAAGCTCCAAGCATATCTCTGGTACCCCAGAGGCTTGTTAGCTGTCTCCCGAGGGGTGCTTTTTGTGGAAGGTTCAAGGGGGCTGGGCTATTGGGGTGTGTGCATCTTCCCCAGTGCTTAACCTCCTCCCACCCTCAGCTTGTGTTCTCTGAAGAGCTGAAGCTCAGAGTGGAGGAGAACAAAAGGACTAGGATTTACAACACATTAGCATTTGGAGGGAGGTGAGTTTTGCTTCCTGAGCTCTGTTTACCATTTCATGAGTCAAGAAGTAGTGTTTCAAGCACTCTGGCCAGTTGTTGATGGAAGTGTTTCCTGAAGGCCTGGCGGCTGCAGACTGCTGTGTTACGATGGACAGAGGTGAGCAAGGCATGTCCCCAGGCACCATGCTAGGAGTTGGGGTGGGGGGTGCATGGAAGACACAAGATGAGGTTCACCTTCAGGGACCTTAGTGATTGTCCAGAGAATCCGCCAGTTGTTGATGGAAGTGTTTCCTGAAGGCCTGGTGGCTGCAGACTGCTGTGTTACGATGGACAGAGGTGAGCAAGGCATGTCCCCAGGCACCATGCTAGGAGTTGGGGTGGGTGGTGCATGGAAGACACAAGATGAGGTTCACCTTCAGGGACCTTAGTGATTGTCCAGAGAATCAAGAGTAAAGCATGTGAAACTCTAGCAAGTTAAGATCATAGTTATGAAGTATAAATGCAGTAAGAAATCATTTCAAAGGAAGAAGCTCGTGAGGTCTAATGTAAAATGCAGGCTGCCCAGTAGAGTAAACTTGGTGACTGAAAATGTCCTTGGAGTGGAGAAACAAAATGTGGCATGTGTGTGCAATGGAATATTGAATGCATCCTTAAAAAGGAATGAGGTTCTGATGCATGCTATGACATGGGTGAACCTTGAAAACATTATGCTGAGTGAAATAAGCCAGACACAGAAAGACGAATACTGTCTGATTCCCTTATGAGGTACCTAGAGTAGTCAAATTCATAGATAGAACAGAGATTACCAGGGCCAGGGGGGCGGGAGAATGGGAAGGTAGTGTTGAGTGAGTGTGGAGTTGCAGTTTGGGATGATGAAAAAGTTCTGGAGATGGAGAGTTCTGTGGTTACACAACAAAGAGAATGTACTTAATGCCACTGTACGTTTGAAAATGGTTAAAATCTTATGTTATTTTACCACAATAAAGTACACGTACACACACACACACATACACACATATGCTGATGCACACATATATATATACATGTATGTATGTGTGTATATGTAAAACAGCCTTGGGCCACACTATGAAATGCCTGTAGGTTTGTGCCGTGCTGTCCCTTGGAGAAGTCGTGCACACACACAGGACACATTTTGCCCCTGGCCTAGTGCACTGACCGAGAGGAATCAGGAAGAGCTGTGGTTCACTCTGGAATGCCTGAAGCTCTACACTAGCCCCGTGCACCCTGTTACTTACGATGCAGCGCTCTCCATCGCTTTGAGTGATCGGTCGTGGACTGTCAGTGATCAGACTGTTGGAAGAGGGTCCCCTTGATTCCTTCGAGACACAGCCAGACAAGTTTCTCTGGCTCAGTAGCCAGCAGCAGATAGCTTTGATGGGAGGGACCCATGTGGCTCTGAGAAAGTCGGTCTCTGTCGCTTCATCTGGTTGCCAAAATAAACCGGAACACGCTTCATTCCAAAGAGAACGCTGAGTGAGGAGCCTGACGGTTTTACAGGGAATAAAAGTCTCAGAGGGTGGTGTATTCTAAGGGCTATTTCCTTCCAATCATAAGAGTTGCTAAAAACAGACCCCAGCCAGAGAGGCGGTTCTGGCCTTCGGGGGGACTTACACCAGGGCTTCTGTGGCCACGGGCAAAGTGCGAGAGGAGGGACGGGCTGTCCTGGGTCCGCTGCTGAACTTGCCCTGTTTCCTTAGGCAGAATCGAGGTCCCTCTTCTGTCCCCTCGGCACTCCGCTCATGTTCATGCCAGCGTTTATGTCACTCTTTACTTGTCTATAGAACCCCTTGAGTAAGACCCAACTTTTCCTCAGTTCTTTATCCAGAGGCCCTGGCGGAGTCACTGGGGAGCGGTGCTCAGGAGAGGGTGGGAAGGAGGAAGGAAGGACGGAAGGACAAGGGGGGCAGACGGGTTCCAACTGGGTTCCCACTTCGTTGGGGACTCAGAAAGCTCTCAGAAAGCTGGAAAAAAATATTTTAACATTAATTACATGTTAGGGTCCTCTGAGTTTTACCTGACTTTGTCTCAGTTGTCACATGACACAGTTTCACTAATTCACTAACTAAAAAGTGGAATTGAGGTTCCCTGGCCCTGGAGGTGTTGTGAAGTTATTAGAAGATATTTAACGGAACAGATAGAGCCTCTTGTCATCAGGTCAAAGAATGTCATCAGAACTCTTTGTCACATTCTTAATTACTGTCCACAGAAGATTCCTGGATATCCCTTCTTTCGTGTCATCCTGGCATTTTATGATCCTGATTGTCGCTGAGCTGTGAAAGCCCGTCAGCCGTGCAGCGGAGGCGGTCTCAGCCCTGCCTGCGTGCTCTTCAGGGGCCCCCAGCACTGTGTCTTTCTCCTGCTTGGCTGGGAGCACCAGCAGGTCCCAGCACACCTTCTCCTAAAGGCAGCTCTTATTGAGTCTGTCTTTTGTGGACTTTGCAGGGCCTGCGGTCAGGATCCCTGTGAAGAGTTGCTGCAAGGAAAGGGTGGCAGTGGGGGCGATGCCTCCTTCTCCTGCCTCATTTTTTCTGTGGGCCTCATTTGGTATGCAAGGAAATAAGCCAAACAGCCTGTGAAGAAAGGAAGAATGAGATAGTTTCCTAAGTTGTCTCTGCCTGAGTTGGCCGCGGGTCTGGGGCTCATTCAGCCCTTTGTCCCCCTGTTGAGTGCAGTGCGTGTGTGGTGACAATGGAGTGATGCAGTTACACTGGGGCTAGTGGTAGGAGTTCCGTCAGCTCATTCATGGAGGCAGAGGAGGGTGCAGGGCTGGGAGCTCGAGCCAGCAAGCGGAGGAAGTCAGCGGCCCTTGTAAGGAGCTGGAGATCACAAGCGCTGCTGTCAGGCCCGAGGCCGGCGGGCGGGGGAAGGCCAAGGGAGGGGGCCTGTCATCGTAGAAGCTGGAGGACTGCCCGACCCCCAATGCTGTAGAGTGCCACCTGTCCAGGCTGACAGACGAGCATTATGGCTCGCCTTTTAATCAGCTTAATTTGAGGCATCTGAGCATAAAGGCTGGTGCTTTTGGAGGCTGCAGAAAAGCTGAGGTCCTAGAGCCACGGCACCCCATGTGCACGTAGCAGCTTTTCGCAGGAGGTGCATCTTCTTTTCTGGCTGCTTGGGCTCTCTCCCTTTCTTGGAGATTCTCTGGCCTGTATGTCTTCACATAGAGCCTGGAAGGACAGGTGTGTAGGGAAAAAGAGTTCTAAAAAGGAGCCTTGCTCTTTTTAAAGCCAGGTTCCGCTTTTAACTAGATGTCACTGGGGGTCGAGTCACTTCGCCTTGCCCTAGCTGGAAAATGAGGGCGTTTGGCCGTTTGATCTCCAAAGGCCCTTCAGACCTTCAAGTTCTACAGTTCTCTAACTATCCATGTGTGTTGCCATACAATCCTGCCCCTTTGGAAATACTCCTAACTCCACTCTTCTCTCAGCTTGACCTCCTAGCACAAGCAGCCTGGCTGGATTTGAGGCAGGGCCCTTCCTCCCTCCAGGCCACCGCCTCCCACAGCCCAGTCCCATGCATTCTCCTGCCTCCTGCCTCAGGCAGGATTGGGGCTATGTGGGGTTGGTAGGTCCGGTTGCACGTAACAGCGCCAGGACACATTCTCCTCTTCCTTTACTCTCCACCTGCTCACAGAAAATTCACATGGTCTTGAGGAGTCCAAGGAGGCTTCCTGCAATGCTAAATGAGGATATCAATGTGCAGGGGGCGAGCTCTGTCTCAGGGAGGGGGATGCTGATTTCTCTGTCTCCACCATCAGAGAGTGGAATGTTTGACAGGGTTTAAACGAGACAGGCTCTTGCCCGCCTCATCTTGCTGAGCTGAGAACGAAGGATTCAGCAGTTGACAGTCGAGCTGAAGACTGCCAGGTCGTGAGAACTGGAACCTGAAGGAGGGTTAGGCAGAGACCCCAGAGAGGGTGCGTGGCCTGCTGTGTCCTGAGCTGGATCTAGAAGCGAGCAGGGAGTAGGATTCTGTGTCCTGTGTTCCTGCAAAAACTGCTTGATTCACCCTTTTTCTCCTCAAGTAAGAGGGTCAGGGATCAAAAGCTGGCCATGGTCAGTAGTGATGTGCATTGAAATTAAAATGGGACTTAAGAAAGGAGAGAGGTATTTTGCATGAAATCTAGGAAATCTTCCTCCATTTTGTTCACAACAGCCCATGCACACATTCTGGCAGGAATTTAAGTCAATGCGACTCTTCAAGCACGTGTAATCTTGAGTCCCCCAGCTCTGAAAGTCCAGTAGAAGGGACTGCCAAATGTCCCAGTCCTCCCTGTAGGATCTTCTCAGAACTGTTCCTTTAAGGTCTCAGGCTACTGGAAGGGAAGGCTGAATACCAGGATAAGTAGGAACGTTGATGACCCAAAATGGAAGTCTCCTCACTGCCTGAAACCAAGTGCTTTAGCTTTCTGGAGCCTGGGCTCCCCATTTGGAGCCCGTCTATCTCAGGGATGCTGCTGTGGTTAATGCACTGACGGCTGTGGAGTCCTAAACTGGTCATATTATGCGCTAACCCACATTACCTCACCATGGAGCCAATATAGAGCCCCTGAGGAGGGACAGTAAGACGGATTGGCCAGTGGACACCCGGTTTCTCACTGGGGAGTGAGCACATCGGAAGGTAGTCACCACGTGGCTGGGCCATGCGCAGTCCTCTTTAGAGATTCCCTCATTGCTTACACCTCACGGGCACGTCTTTTCTAATTTCATGGTTCAGAGCTGTTGTCTCCCCATACTACACATACACACACGCACGCACACACGGTCCCTCAATCAGCTGAGACTCCTGCCATCTCCAAAGAAGATTTAGATAACAACAGCTTTCAGGCTTTCTGCTTTGGGTAAGCTTTGTCTTCCATGGATGAGTGTACGTTGAAAGTAAGTATATATAGTTACAACCTCTGTGGTATGAAGGTGTTCTGATTCATTCCTCCTGCCTCCTAGAAAAAAAAATTTGAACATACCCTTCAGCAGCTCCTAAAGTACCTCTAGTGTAGAGGAGCATCACACATAAACTTCCTGCATTCAGCTGATTATCTTCTGCCAGAAAAAAGAAAAGAGAGAGAGAAAGAGGAAACGAGTCATAATTTAAATTCTAAGGCTCAGACTTCCACTCACTGAGTCTGCCCAGGGGTGAGCTGTGGTCTGTGATGCTGCTGTTCCTGGGTCTCAGCTCCTGCTTGTATCTCGAGGGGTGAGCATCTCATCAGCCCAGGATGATTCCAGCATTTGAAGAGAGGCATTCCCCTGCGGCATAGCCCCGGAGAACAGGCCGGCTCCTTCATCTGGCGCTCAGGTGGGGAAAGAGCGACCTCTTGACAGTGAGACTCGCCACCCACCTCTGATGTCAGACCTTCCTAAGGAACATTCCACAGTGGTTTTGACTGTAGTTATCTTTTGCCTTATACATTATCTGCCCCACATTAGCTTCAACTCTGTATTTAAGATTAATTTGTTTAGATTCTAAAGCTTTAAGATTTTCAGATATCTTCTGCTGAAATGCAAGGGTCCGTAGAAATGTTATACTTTCAGCCTTTACCACCTAGGAAGTAGTGACCTGTGAGCACAGCACTGCGGAATTGGCCTTGGAGGAGGGACAGAGAAGGGACCGAACAGGGAGGTGGGCAAGACCCTGAGATTTCTAATCACTAGTGAAAGGGGTCAGACAGGGTAGCAGATGGGAGATGGCACAGAAAAGTTTGAGAGATGATCAGAGGTCCCTAGTTGTCAGTGCCTGACTCTTCCTCAGCTTTGATCAGGGTGGCAGGGACACCTCTGCTTCTGGCTCACGTCTGTCCCCCATGCCAGACACATAGTGGACCCTGCACCAATCTGGAGTAAATGCTAATCTGTACCTCATTTCAAAGAATTCTTTCAGATTCCGGGACTGATTTATTGCTATACATAATAAACAACTATCATTTATTGAGCTGCCACTTAGCACTTCATACATATTATCTCAGTTGCTCTTGACCCTTTGATCGTTTCATTATCCTTATTTTACAGATGGGGAAACTGAGATCAGAGAAGTTAAATAACTTAGCTGCTGCCTGCAAGTATGCTGGGTGGGCAACACATACCACCCTTCCTCTTTCATTATTCATGCATTTTGGGTGATACTTCATTTCAGCCCTTAGACTTAGGTCTGCCATTGTTCCTAATCTTAATTTTCATCCAAAGCTGTAGTTTGAAATGTGGAGTAGCTGAGAGATAGGAAAAGAAAATTTGGGGTTATGGAAACTTTGTTCCTTAGCAGTTAATGCCAACTTTACTTTAGAACTTTGGAAAATAAGAATAATGCGTTTGTTCTTGGCAAAATTGTAACCTCCAGGTAGTGAAAAATGCACAGTGAAACAAAGAGAAGGAAAGTGTATATTCATCTGTTGACAAACACAAGGAGATTCACTTGAACATATTTTCCATATGTATTTGCTGCTTAGGAGAGTGCAGAAAGGCAGCCTTGCAGAGGAGAGAGGCTAAGAGAAGGTTCCTCAGCTCACACCCACAGTCCCTCCTCATGATGGCCATAGCTTGCTGTTACACTGAATGTCACCAGCTAATAGAAGCTTCTGCCTGGGGCAAACACTCCAAATTTCCACTACCAAATATAGACTAATATCAGAGCTATGCTGTAAATTCTTGCTTATTCCCAAATTAGACAGCTCATGTGCAGAATTTTGTAAACATTCTGTACTGTATTTTTATGAGTTAAAAGAGTGGTAAACAACAAAAAATCAGGGATTTTTGTTTGTTTTTAAGCACTTCCACAGTTTATGTGAAGGTTGGTACAGATCCATCATCTTCCTTCTTATCTATTCCTCGGGTGCTAAGTTTGCTAATTCTGGTATCTGCCTTTGTGTCTGCCATCTCCCAACTTCCCTGGGCAGAAAGCATCTATCTAGTTGGCCCCTTGATTACCAGGCAATGCACGGCCGTGAGTGCACCACCATCTAGGCCCATGCGTCTCAGAATATGAGTCACCTGTGCTCCTGCTGAATGCAGGTTCTGATTAGGTTGGTTTGGGGTTGACTGAGTTTCTGCATTTCTCACAAGCCCCCGGGCGATGCAGGTGCGCCAGTCCATGGAGCCCTTTGGAGCAGTGAAGTCACATGGCACTTGAAGAATAGGCATTCCCTTTTTCGTCCTGATTAGTTTGGTTTGGGGTTGACTGAGTTTCTGCATTTCTCACAAGCCCCCGGGCGATGCAGGTGCGCCAGTCCATGGAGCCCTATGGAGCCCTTTGGAGCAGTGAAGTCACATGGCACTTGAAGAATAGGCATTCCCTTTTTCGTCTTCTTCACTTCACGTGCATTTCCTCTGGAAAACTAGCACGGAATTACACGAGTTGAATCGTGTATGTTTTCTTTATGCTCTAAGCCCTGTTTATCTTGTTAACAGCTCTGGTCTGGACTGTTCTTCTTCTAGGATTGCCTCAAAGCCTGCCAGGAGCAGATCGAGGCGGTGCTGCTCAACAGCCTGCAACAGTACCGTCAGGACCAGCGCGATGGGTCCAAGTCGGAGGATGAACTGGACCAAGCCAGCAGCACCCCTACAGATGTGCGGGATATTGACCTGTGAGGACACCGGTCGGGCCCAGCAAGAGAGGCGCGTTTGTCATCTGTCCTCTCCTTCTCTCTGGTTATGTTTTGTTCTTTGTGTTTTAGGGTGAAGCTTAAAAAAGAAAAAAAAATCTGCCCCCACCTAGATCATATTTAATGATCTTTAGAAGTGAGAGAAAAAGATCCTATAAAAACGGAATAATTAAAAGCATTTGGTGCCTATTGGAAGTGCAACATAAGGGAATCCCTTGTATATGCGAACAGTTATTGTTGGATTATGTAAAAGTAATAGTAAAATGCTTACAGGAAAACCTGCAGAGTAGCTAGAGAATATGTATGCCTGCAATATGGGAACAAATTAGAGGAGACTTTTTTTTCATGTTATGAACTAGCACATACACCCCTTTTAGTATGATTTCAAGGAACTGTATATGTCATCCTTGGCATGATTAGATTGCAAAGCAATGAACTCAAGAAGGAATTAGAAATAAGGAGGGACACAATGGGGAAGGTGTACCAAACAATCTCTCGACATGATTGAACCATTTTGGATGGAGAAGCCCTTTGCTCCCAACCACCTGCTACTAAGGCAGGAGCATTGTTGGATCTCTACCTTATGGACTTCCACTGTCTACAGTAGCTGCTACCTGAAAAGGATGTTTTATTTTGCCAGTCGGACACAGGTGATTGGCTCCTAGGTTTCACATTCTGTGACATCCTGCTTCTTCTTCCAAATGTGGTTCATTGCAAACACCACCATGTTGTTATCTAATGGGGGGAGACTTAGCTAGGGGCCATAACCAAAACTCGCATGAGATGGAGGCAGATGGGACCTGGGATGGAATCTTTTCTCTTACTTTTTTAAAGAGGGTAATGTGACCTTGGCATCCCTTATTAGGAAAAACTAATTTTTGGTGCTGATTGGCATGTCTGGTCCACAGTTTAGCATTGTTATAAACCATTCCATTCGAAAAGCACTTTGAAAAATTGTTCCCGAGGGATAGATGGGATGGTTTATGCAAATCATGCTGAATACTCCTCCCCTCTTCTCTTTTGCCCCTTTCCTTCCTGCCCCGGACTGCGTTACTCTTCATTTCTGGTGTCCGGCATTCCCTGGTACACAGTTCTGGTGTCCCTACCAGGACTCAAGTGACACCCCTTCCACTGGGACTCTCATCACAACATTCCTCAGAAAAGCCTAAAAACAAAGAGCTGTTAGTATTTTGATGTCACAGAAGGATCTTAATTCCCATCTATATACTTCTCCTTGGACATGGGAAGAAAAGTTATTGCTGGTGCGAGGACAGCTGAACAGCAGGTGTGGCATTTTGTTCCCTTTTTCGTCTTTTGTTAATTTTATTGCAACGTTGTATTCAGCGTACTTGAATTTTTTTCCCTCTCCATTTCTTAGAGGCGTTCAGTTAGCAAACAGGTCCGAGCAACAAGTTTTTTTTTTTTTTTGCACAATCGTAATTGACAGGTGATGAAGCTATTTGTTAAAATGTTCAACTTTTTTTTAAGTAAAAAAGAAAAATCAGAACAGGGCTACTTTGAAGAATTATTTTATACACAAATTCTGCCTTGTTTCATAGTATGAGGGTTGAAGATGGAGAAAAATCTAAGGGTCTCTTATTTTTCATTTTATTTTGTTCAGTTTTTTATTATTATTATTTTTTTTTTGCGCTGCTAAGAAGCTAAGATCATTCATCCTTATTCACATTAACAGTACCTAGCTGTAATGTTTCACAGAGTGTGCTGCTATTTTATAAACATTTTTATAATATATTATTTTACTGCTTAAATTCCAAGTCCTGAAGTAGATGGTTGAGATACGAGTTCTTTGTACTGGAAAAGCCCTTCCATAGTTTATTTTCTTCTGGTAGCATATTCATGGTTGGTTTCTTGTTTTTTCTTTTTGGTTTTTTTTTTTTTTTCCTCTGATCACATTCTTCAAAGACAGAGTATTCTTTACCTCAGGTTTACTGGACAAAATCAATAACTACAAAAGGCAATGATTCACAGTTTTGTTTTCATAATACCTCACATCATTTTCTGCTTGGGAGCCCATTTGGGTGAGGACTAGAGAAGGCAGGTGGGCACCTCTCAGGTGCAAGGTAGGGTGGATTTGTCCCCAGGGTCTCAGACCCAGAGACCTTCTCAGTCATGAAGGCCACCAGGCTTCCATTTTGACTCCGGTATCCTCATCATGATGGAAAAAATACATTGAACCCAGAGATCCTCCCTCCCCCACAAGGTAGACATTGAACACAAACATTTGTGCAGAGGTCTAGGAAGTCATAATTTGCACTTAGGTACCAGGTATCGGGAAACAGACTAAAAAGAATTCCAGCAGATTGTTTGGAGATCCTCATCTTCCAGCTGTCTCAAAAGCAGGGCTTTCATCTGCTTAGGGCCCTTTCATCTGGAAAGTTTCCCCTGTATCTTTCCCCTTCCCTGGTATGGACACCCCCAGTTTAGGATCATCTCCCAAGTTTTCCTAGGTCTGAATCTGGGGGTGAGGAGTCTGCAGCATGCAGTGCCAGTGGTGCCTCCTCCTCCCCGCTTTGTCTCAGGCTGCGGCAGGCAAGCACTCTGCAACACGAGGTCATCTGCTAAGCAGTACTAAACAGTTTTCAGGTTTTAAATCACGTTGAATTGGCATGATAAGGAAAATAGGTCAGATGAGTATGGGATGGTAGTCGAAGGAAGGTGAAGAGGCTGCTTCTCTAAAGAGGTGAAATTCCTGGTGTCAGTCTCTCATGAAGTATGTGTAGTTCAGGACTTTGTGAGTTCGCATGACCCTAAGGTTCTAGGGAATTTCTGGTGGGGCAGTAGGTGGTGAATTCTGAAGTTTTGGAGAGGAAAGTTGAGCAGCCAGTAAGTTATCCAGTGTTTTATCAAGAGCCCACTTTGCACAGCACCCTCTTGGCCCCAAGGAGCCCCACAGAATGGGAGGGCATGATCCCTAGAGTTCTGGTAGTCTTGGAGCCTAAAGAGAACACGAGGTGCAAATTCATTTAACAGTGACCACACCTTGAGATTAAACAGCAGCAGCAAATGAAAGAACCTGAGAACCGAGGGGAGGAACAGGCCTACCACTCTACCTACAGTGTGCAACCCCACACTTTACCTGTAACCCTCTTTCCCATTCTGGGGGCCTTGCGTGATGGTAGCTGTGGGGCTGGGTATGGGGAGGTGCTGGGGTTTCTGGCTTTTCTGTCTGCTCCCTGCTTACACGAAAGAAGGAATCCTGGGTTTGTTAAGGTGACTGATGTGCTCTCCTTGGATCTTGGTCTCCTTGGTAGGAGTTTCTGTCCCAGAGGGATTCTCTTCTCCCTGTGTATTTGAACTTGCTTTTTTATGTTTTTTCTCTTTCTCACTTCCCACTAAAGGGGTTCCAAAATCTATTCTGATCTTTTTTTTTTTTACCTTGTTATCTATCTCTTTACTTTCTCATCTTTGTTTTTTCTCCATCAGTGGGGGCTACTTTGTTCCCCCAGCCTGCCAAATTTTGATCCTTCCCCTGTTTTGGCTAAATCCTAGGGGGAGGAAATCCTAGTATGCCAAAAATATATGCTAAGCATAATTAAATTCCATGCGGGTTCCTAGCAGCCATGAAGCCTGCAGGAGGAAGCCAGGGGGCAGTTCCTGCCGCAGCGCATCTCACGTGTGCTCAGAGGCGAGCTCCATAGAGAAGGGGCTGCTCTCACAGGAGGCTTTATTTGGAAGTGCTTCAGGACCCCACTGAAGAGCACACCGTGTCTCACAGCCACGTTACGTGTTCCATACTGGAGGCTCTGTTCTGCCCCTTATCAGCCAGGTCAGGGGCACACATGGCCTCCAGCAGGGGCTATAATGGCAAGGCCAGAGGGGAACACCCTGACTGCATCACACTGCATCCCTCTGCTAGCAGATGGGCGACTCCTCAGAGGGAGTTGTAGCTTTTCTGCGCTGTAGCACCATTAGGGCCTCTCCAGACTCTGTGTGCCCTGGGAGCTCTAGGACAGACAGGTTAAGAAGATGAGGCGGGATCAGATGACTTTCTCAAAGAGGGCAGGGGAATTTTCTCTCCATGCGCCACAGGGGACAGGGCTGGGTGAAGAAATAGACTTGCACCTTATGTCATGTAAATATTGATTTTCTAGTTCCAAAAGATAATATTGGCAGTGTGGGAATTGGAGGTAGGAATGGGGAGGAAGTCTGAGCAAGCCAGTTGGCTTCTAAGCCAAAAGGATTCCTCTTTGTTTATCTTTGAGACAGTCCAACCTTGAGAATAGCTTTAAAAGGGAAATTAGTGCTGAGACAGTAAAGTCCCCTTAAGCCACAACTCCTCTGTAGCTATAGAATGAGTGCAAGCTTACATTGGTGTGGACTCAGCGCAGTTTTCAAGAGCTGCTCATGTATGTCGTCCGTACAAAATAGGGCAGGAAGATTCAAGAGGATGCTTTTTCCTCATACCACATGGCTTCTAATGATTCTGGATTCTGAACAACCCACAGTAGTCATTTCAGCTAGAACTATTCTACATTTGTGTATCTCTGCTTTTATACTTGGCTGGGCTATCAGATCCTTTTCTTGGCTCAGGTTCAAAAGCCATCAGCAAATGTACACACACACTCTGTATGCAGCCTTCATTCCTTTGCCTGCAGCCTACTTTGGGGAAAAAAAAAAGTGCCTTACTGACTGTAGCCATTTACAGTATCCAATGTATTTTGACAGGTGCCTGTCTTGGGAAAAATTTTCTATTTTATTTTTAATTGGTTTTAGTTTTTAACTGCTGGTCAACTCTTACATCCCCACCGGGCCATTGGATTTTTTCCATTATGTTTGTTACCCTTGTACCATGTACCTCAGATCTCTCTCTCTCTCTTTCTCTTTCTCAGTTATAGTTTCTTGTCTTGGCATTTTTTTATTCTTTTATTTTATTTTTTTGCTTTAAAATGAGTGTGATGCCATATCAAGTCAATGTTATTCTCTCACAATGTACTCTATAAGAGGTGTGGGTGTTTATTTGGTCGGGATGCTAGAAAGTGCTAAAGCAGCATGATCAGTGTAAACGAAAAGGCTTTTAGGAAGTATGGAAAAAAATGTTGTATTGATTATGATGGCGACATGATATAGGTATTATCTGTTCAGTGTTAAGTGATTTTAAAAAATAATAACCAGTTCTTCTGACTAGTTTAAAGATGGATTTGAAAATGGTTTTGGATGCAATTAGTTTATGTTATTTCGACAATAAACTCACCTTGACCTAAATTCTCTGGCCATTTGTGACTTATTTATAGACCAGCAATCCTCATGATTGAATACGCTTATCTCATGCCAGAACTCTGTTGGCAGCAATTGGTAGTGACATTAAATACAAATTCTATCCTGCAAGGTAATCTACATGTGCTTTTCTGTTATTACAATACAAGTAATTGTTGACATGTTTTTTTCCTCTTGGGGCCCCGAGGCAACCATATTATAAACTAGAAGCCTCAGCCCACCTTCATAAATCACTATACTGTGCCCGGGCCTCAGAGGGTAGCCCCTGATTGTTGCCACCTACTCACTCTTGGCTGTGAGTGAGCATCTTCTGGCTTAGGAGGTGCCAGAAGCCTGCAGTGCCATCCCCAGACTCAGAAGGCTCTGGGGAACCATACCCCTGCAGCTTTCATGGCTCCTGTCTGCTGGTCTTAGTGGCTTCCATCTGATCCCTGATCTTCTCTGCATCCCTCACGTGAAGCCGGGGCCAAACTGCTGTTCGTGGAGGCTGGTGAGGCAGAGCCTGAGAGAGGGATGGGATAGTCACCTTAACAGTGAAAGAAATGGCCAGGGCCTGGTCCCAGCTGCTGTTGGTCCTTAGCTCCTCAAACCAGCTTCTTTCCCAGGAGTGACGGGTGTGCAGAAGGCAAGGGCCTAATAGCCATTTTGAAGTTACTATAAAAATTCATTTTCTATAGTTCCCTCTTTCTTTCAAAGTCATTGAAGGCTGTTTTCCGGTTTAATTCTGACCTGCATTACAAGCAAGAAGAGGAAAACTGGTCACAGGAGGAGTCCAGGTTAAGATATTCTCTGCTGACCTCTTGTAACTGCACTTAAAATGACTTTTTTTTTTTTGTCTTTTTCCGTGTCCGGCAACGGATCGCAACCCTCAGTGTCGCCCCCGTACCGGACCGGGACCGGCAATGGGATCGCAACCCTCGGTGTTGCACCTGCACCTCGCTCAGCCAGTGAGCGGGAACCGGTCTGTATGTGGGATCCGAACCCTCGGGCGGGAGCGCCACCGCGCTTCCCAAGCGGTGCACTGTAGCAGTGCGCCACCGGGCCGGCCCTTAAAATGACTTTTAACCTAACAAGGACTCTCGAAATTCCCCTTTGTCCCCATCCCCCACTCTTGGAGAAAACGGGTAACTTTTCTTGGGTTTCTGTCTAGTGAAGCTGGTCGGCCTTTTGGGGTTTCTAGGGCCTCTGGTTGCCACTCTTAGCTGTCCTTGAAATTCTCTTCCACGTGACCTTTTGTACCGCGGGGCCCCGTCACTCCCCTCCCGGTCTGTTCACCCTGCAGCCTCAGTGCGGTGTCTGGTAGGAACACTACAACTTCACACCTGGATTCCTCCCACTCAGAGCAGTGGGTGTCTTGGGGCAGGAAGGGAGCCGACGAAGCAAGGGTTACATTCCACACAGCTGGCTAGCGACAGATCGTACTGGCCCTGTACACGTTCCTCCAGAGTGTCTTACAACTGGAACACCTCAGACTTGGAGCAAAAATGCCCCTCCTGAAAGGAAAGAAGTTAGAGATGCAGTGAAGACCTGGACATCCCAGATCTTTTGTGTCTGCTCTAGTGAGTACTTGATGACTTTCCAAAGATATGGAACTTTTATTCAGTACATAGGGGTATCTATCACCAATATAAAACTCTCCAGGTGGCTTAGTGCTTATACTCTCAACATACTGTTCTGAAGCATGGACTCAAAAGCGGAATGTTACACCAGAATGTTTCTCCCCTGATCTATCAGTAACAGCAGCGAAAATGCTGTTGACTGGGCGTGCGGGCTCAGAGGGCCCAGGTGAGTGAGTTGCCACAGCCAGCGCCTTTGTGCAGGGCCTGCACTGGGCCTTGGACGAAAAGCAGCGGGCACCAAATACCCAGGCCTGTGAATCTGCAGGGAGGTATATCAGCGAATGCAAAGGAATGTGGGCTAAATTGATGCTGAAGTGCAGGTGGTCCCTTTCTGGGGAGACAGAAGTTTCTTCAAGCAAATGAGTTTTAGAAAAACACTTTTATTAAGATGTCCATGTGGGCCAACATAGTTTGGAAAAAGTAGAAACATAATTTAACCTTTTCCAAAAACAGGGCTGGGAGGTGATTTTTAAAATGAAGGGAAAATGTTCACACAGGCAGCTTGAAGAGCATGCTCAATATACTGGACCTTAAACACTAGAAACACAGAGTCACCCTCATGAAACAGGACAAACTCAGCCACAAACACTGATTTGGGATTTCCACCTGACCTAAGTGCTCATGAGGCTTAAAGAAATAAGGCTGGAAGTTTCAAGAAGATGACTGGTGGCTTTCACTGTCTGGGCTCTGGGGGCCTTCCCCACGGTGGAGGGGCATGTCGCATCTGCTGGCCTCAGACACAGTGGAACCAGTGGCCGGGAAACCAGCACAACAAAGCTCAGCTGATTTCCTTCTGACTGTCTCACTACGCCACTGAAATTCTGAGTGTGTGCTTATCCAAAATCCAGCTTTGATTCTGCTGTGATGGTTTGCTTTGCTCTGGCCTTCACTGGCTGCCCTCGTCCCCCACTGCTCTGCTAAATGACAGTTGCTACCTCTGCAGGCGTCGACAAGGACGTTGACACATATGGCTCTCCCTGTGGAGTCCACTAGGTGGTACCAATGCCACAGATAGGAACCAACTTAGAAGGAGCATCGAGCCAGCCAGGTGTGGACAGCTCTGCCGAACCGAGGCCCACCTCCCTGCCACCGGCGCGCGGCTCCCTCACCTGGTTCTGCCGCTCCTGCCACATTCTGGCTCCATCTGGGGTGGCTGCTGCTGATTCATCACCTTTCCCCGTTCTTCTCAGCCTCTAATCCAGAGATGGCAGACCAAATCCAGCCTGCAGACATAATTAGCTTGACTCTCACAGTGATTGAAATGGTCTTGGCCCTTCTTGCCAGTGTAAGATGAGAGCTTTCAGGTAAAAGTCAGGGTTTTAACGACTCTTGGGAAATCTAAGTCCTGGCAGCCACAGGCCAGCCAGGCAGCGAGGGCTATAGCCGCCGAGTCTTTTTCTACTCTCTCCACCCCCCAGCGGCCCACTGAACCCGCTTCTCTGGGTTAGCAACTCTGCAGCCTCATCCCTGGCTGTTCTTACGACTCTGGCCATGAAGCAGGACCCCTGTGAGCCCCAGGTGGCTAATCCTCTCTGAACCTTCTTTGACAACAAAGCAGGCCGGGAACACTCCCTTTCCTTTCCTGCCATGACCTCTCTTCCCCAGATAAAAACAGACCTCTGCTCCTCCTTAGACTTTGCCATCTCCTTTATCTTCTTGGATTTTTGGTATCAGATAACCCTGGGCTGGGCCAGATTTTTGAAATTCCTTTGTGACCCCAGTGCTCAGCCCCAAACTGAGGTGGGCAGATAAGCCAAAATACATTGGGGTTGGGGATAAAGATCAGTTTTTCTGTTTTTGTTTGTGTTTGGAGTCATTTTTAGTTCTCATGGAGAAGACAAACCCATAAGATTTCTAGAGCTGCTGAAAAGGTGCAAATCCCTGTGGCTATGTTTTAGTCAACCCGTCTGTTCAGAATCACAACTCTTCATCCCCTTTTCACTCTGCTCCTGGGCACTGCACATTTATTCAACAGATTGGGGCTGCTCCTGTGCAGGCATTCTGTTACAGGAGCACCTCATTCAACAAATATTTCTTCAGTACCAGCTTTTCCAGGGATAAGATCCTCGCACTCCTGATCTCAATGGCTGATGGCAGAGACAGACAGTAAGTCACAGGACAGCTGCTACTTAGAACACATGTGCTCTAGTGGCCTGCTGCTCTGAAATCCCACCAGTCCATCCACCACCTTTGTAACCTTGGGCATGTTCCTTAGCCACCCAGTAGCTCACAGCAAACTCAGTGACTCAGTTTCTTCATCTGTGAAATGGGATTAAATAAGAACAGTGTCTTCCTGTAGGATTGTTGTCAGAATGAAGTGAGTTACTGCACTTGAGCACTCTAACGTTTAGTGTCCGACACACAGTCAGCACTTGCTAAATGTTAGCTGTCATCACAGGCTGAAGCAGAGTGTCAGGGTGGCACTTGATTCAGTCTTTTTAAAAGTTAATTTTACAGACAGGTACCACTCTTTTAGTTACTGCCAACTTACGGCACTGAAATGAGGAAGACTTTTGGATAATTAGCAGCTAAGTGTGTTTTGTAGTTTTAAAAGAGCTTTTCGCAAGCTTCTAGATAATCCTTGCAACCCTCTGCTGAACGTGATGCCTCATTTTGTAGCTGGGACTGCAACCCAGATGTCTCTTGCTTACCGAGAATTTAGCTGAAAGAATGAGACTGTTAGCCAGATGGGATGGATTGGCTGGTGACATCACTTGTTGAAATCATCAGGAGATAGTCTTTTTTTTTTTTTGTCTTTTTTCCGTGTCCGGCAACGGATCGCAACCCTCAGTGTTGCCCCCGTACCTCGCGCTTCCTGCGAGCGGGGACCGGGGTGTGTGGGGGTTATGTAGACCGGG